CCCCCCGTCCCCATACACACACACAGGTGCTTCCTGGAATCCTCTGCCCGATGAGCTGTTTGCACTCAAATCCTAGTTCCAGGTGTCTCCTGGGAGAATGCAGTGTAAGATCATAGTGAGCAAGCAAGTCCTCTAAGTCAGGGGTTCTCAGTGTGCTCCCTAAACTAGCAGCCCCAGCACACCCCAGACCTGGTATAAGTGGTCATCCCCAGCCACATTCCAAGCCCACTGGATCAGAAAGTCTGGGGTGCGGTCCAGTCGTCTGTGTTTTACCAGCTTTTCCAGGAGATTCTGTGTACACAGAAGTTTGCAAACTCAAACCAAAAAGCCAAAGTCACCGTCATCGAGTCTTTCCAACTCATAGCAACCTTGTAGGCCAGGATAGAACTGCTCTTTAGGGTTTTATAAGATTGTAAATCATTACAGGAGTTGTTGTTGTTAAGTGCCATCAAGCCACTTCCGACCCATAGCATCCCCATATAGGGTTTCCAAGGAGTGGCTTGTGAGCTTGAACCGCCGATCTTGCATTTCAAATGGCTTTGCTGTCTGACACATTAATTGTCAGCGCCACACCAGTAGACACCCTCATCTCTCGCCCAGAGTGGCTGGTGGGTTTGAACCACTGCTTAACCCACCGCACCACCAGGACTCCAGGTTTGAGGACAGTTCAACTAAATTATAATGCAGAAATACACCCCCAAGGAGAAGTAGAAGTCTAGTAGGGGAAAGGAAACTGGCCATCTAGAAGTTCCCTTCATCTAGAGTGGTTCTGCAGAAAAACTTGGAGAACTGAGGATTTGGGTTTTGTTTCAGGGGCCATGTTCAGTGCTGAGGAGGGCAGCCTCTTCCAGAGAAACACCTTTCTGATTAGTCCTAATTAACCCACAGATTAGGGAAGATTAATGGAATCTGGGCGGAGGTCTTCGGGAAGGGCAGACACCTGGAGGGTAGTTAAGGTTGACCTGAAGCCTAAGGAAGACAGGCAGCCCAGGCCTGCAGAAAAGACCTAAGACCACCGTTATGTTCACACTGAGCTCCCAGAGAACTAGAGGAGAACACTGTTTACATGGTGCCTGGTACTTTTCCCAGTTGATCCCTTTAACAGCCCTTTGAGCCCTAGTGTGGCGCTGCAGGATAAGCACTGGACTGCTAACCCCAAAGTCTGCAGTTCAAACCCCCCCAGCCCCTCTCGAAACCCTATATAAGGTCCACTATGAGTCGGAACCGACTTGAAAGCACTTAACAACAGGCTTTTGGAGTGGACAGACCGCGCTCACCATTCGACTGGGAGGGGCCGCGTCCCTGGGATGGTCCCAGATCCCGCCCTTCCTGCGTGTGTTCCGGTTCCTCTGGGAGGAATGGGTGGGTATCAGATGCTGGAGAGCCCAGCGTATGTGAGTGTTGTGTGTCCAGTGTTCACAGGCAGCGGGGATGCCTGCGCCCGCGCCTTTAACGCCCAGTCTGGAGTGCTGCAAAGGGTGTTTCGTGGCCACGCCTTCGTCATCAACTGCATCCAGGTAGGACCCCGGGACTTGCTGGACTTGCTGGCTGAATGCACGGGAGAGTAGGTTTAAGCGACTGTCAAAAGTGAGGCTCGCTGGTCCTACGCCAAGTCTTGCAGTGCCTTTCCCATCGCCTGAATGGTCCAGGAGGCGAGTTTAAACGCCATCCTGCAAATCCTCAGCGCCCTCTACGCGAGGTCCTACCACCTGCGAGATGTTATCAGTTAGCCCTGTCTAGGAAATGGCCATCCTGCTGTTGACCAGCACGCAAGTTCGCTTTTTGGTTGTGTGGGCAGCCGCCGCAAGGCTTTTGGCGGGCGGTGGTGGGGCAGTCAGATGTTTGGTTCACCCCTGCGAGGGGGAAGAATATTTCCAGCAGAGTGTTGTACTAACACCCCTTCACACCCTCCACCCCGCGCAGGTGCATGAGCAGGTGCTCTACACGGCTTCCCACGACGGCTCGCTGCGCCTCTGGGACGTGCGCGGGCTCCGCAAAGCCAGCCCGCGCCGTGCCGTCCCCAAACGGAGCTGCTCGAAGCGCTTCAACAACAGGGTGGGCTGCGCGGCAGCGGTGCCTGGGCGGGTCCCCACCTGAGCGGAGTACCTGCCTGCACTCCTCTCTCGCGCTGGTAACCGCCTGGTCAGGATGGCTGAGAAGGCGAGGTGTGCGCCCGGTGCTTGGATAAGACTTTGTTAGCACTTTTTGGATGCTTCCTTGCTTCCGTTTACACTTTGTATTTATGAGTGTTTCAGAACTCTGCAGCCACCCAGTTGATGAGAGGGTTTAACAGATTATACTTCCCTCGGAACTGTCTAGGCCCTCTGTCCCCTTCCCTCCAAGGACTTCCCTCTCTGTTCTCCTCACTCCCTTCAGCTAGAGGCCCCTGCCCAGCTGCCCCTGCCCACAGGCCTTGTCAGTTGTCACCCTCGAGGAAGCTCCCAACTCAGGACCACCAGCCCTAGAGCTGTGTTGGTTGTGCTGCCCCCAAGCGCCTGAACTCTGATGAAGTTTCCTCTTTTCCTGCCGACAGGAGATGGGGACGTTTTTCTTACAGAAGCCACTGAGCCAGATTGATATTTTCATTTCAAATTGTCATGAGAATATTTGTGAAGAACTGAAATACATCTCTTCTAAGTGTTTTTTGATATGTTTTGATTTTGTTTCACATAAGTGGATCTCAGCTTCCTTTAGAAAGGAATCCAGGAACACAGGCAAGCCCTGGCCTTCTCTCCAAGTACTGTCTGGGCCTACCTGTTAGCACTGCAGTGGGGATCCAGTGTAGGACCTCCCATTATTTTCTTATTTGTTCTTGTTAGGTGTCATTGAATCAGCTCCAACTCATAGCAACCCGTATACACAGCAGAATGAAACACTGTCCAATCCTGCGCTATCCTCACAATTGTTTTGCTAAAGCCCATTGCTGTTGCCACTTTGTAAATCTGTCTCATTTGGAGATCTTCCTCTTTGTTGCTGACCTTCCACTTTACCAAGCATGATTGATGTGTTTGTCTTGATAACATGTCTGAAGTATGAAAGATGAAGTCTCGCTGCCCTGGCTTCTAAAGAACATTTTGGCTATACTTCTTCCAACACAGATTTGTTTGTTCTTCTGGCAGTCCATGATATTTTTAATATTCTTCTCCAACACTGTAATTCAAACGCATCAGTTTTTCTCTGATCTCCCTTATTCATTATTCAAGATTAACATGCATATAAGGAGATTGAAAATACCATGTCTTGGGTCAGACATATCTTAATTCTCAAACTGACATCTTTGCTCTTGAACACTTTAAAGAGGTCTTATGCAGCAGATTTGCCTAATGCAATACATCTATTGATTTCTTGACTGCTGCTTCCATAAGCGTTGATTGTAGATACAAGCAAAATTAAGTCTTTGACAACTTCATTAAGCACAGTTGTACCATCTGCATATTGCCGGTTGGTAATGAGTCTTCCTCCAACTCTGATGCCATGTTCTTCATATAATCCAACTTTTTAATTATCTGCTCAACTTTGTTGTTATTTGTTGTTAAGTACTATTGATTGGGTTCTGACTCATACTGACCTTGTATAGGGTTTCTGAGAAATGGCTGGTGGGTTTGAACCTCCAATCTTGCAGTTCAAAATGTCCTTCAGTTGAGTGTTTATCTTACAGGACTCCTTGCTCAGCATACAGATTGAATACGTATGATGAAAGGATACAACATGTCTTTCCTGGTTTTAAACCATTTAGTATCCCCTTGTTCTGCTCTAACAACTGCCTCTTGGTCTTTGTACAGGTTCCTCGTGTGCACAATTCCATGTTCTGGACTACCAATTCTCTATTTTTTCTGGCATGAATCCAAGGGTGGTGTAGGGTGGAGGCATCTCTCTTTGCCACTAGACTGGTAACCACAAGTTTCAAACCCACCAGCTGCTCCTTGTTGAGACTGAACCAATTCACCAGCACTTAACAATCTTTGTCCTCCTAGTTTGGCCCTGTAGGATAAGCACCAACACGTGGTTGGAGGTTCAAATCCACCAGCCACTCCTTGGAAACCCTATACAGAGCTGCTATGAGTCAGAACTGACTCGATGGCACTTAACAGGGTAGTGGCTACCTCACCTCAACTCTGTCCCAGAGACTTATTGTCAGCAAATATTCACCAGCAAGCTCTGTGCTAGAATGGTAAAGATAGAGGAGCATAGGCAGAAAGGGCCAAACAGAAGTGGGTGGCTCATCAAGCCCTTGCCGGTTCCTCTGTCTTGTATCCATAGCACCCTGCGTCAGACCCCGGCAGGTTCCTGGAGCAGAGAGAGAAGCTTCAGGAGGAGCCTGGAGAGTTCAGGATTGTAAGGAGGCAGGCCCAGGGTGCTGATGTAACTTTCAATGTGGAGACAGAAGTAGCTGTCACTGTCTTAAGGGCACAGGTGTCTCATCAGCTAGATATGCAGCAGAAGTGGTCTCAGTGCTCCCCAGAACACCCAGGAGTGTGAGGGTGGTGGCTGCCTAGCTTGGACACCATGGGCAGTATGAGTGAGGTACACATCTGTGACTGCTCCATCACCCCAGTGGCCTCCCCAGGGAAGGTGGACTATGGGGAAGTCAGCGTGGAGAACCTGTAAGACTGTAGCAGTCATTGCTGCCTGAGTGTGACTTCAGCGCTCAGGACCGACCTGTGATACTGCCAGGCCCTGCTATCTGCTAGCGGCTCTTTTACAGGCCTAGGGTTGTGGCTGCAGGGGGCTGTCTGCCAGGAACGGCGCTTCCTAAGACAGCTGAAGTGACGTTTTTGGAAGGTTTGGCAGAATTACCTTAATCACCTGCTTGTAAACACTCTAGAAGGGAACAAGACCTGTCCCTAAACTCACACTCATGTCCTCAGAAACTCTTCTGCTTTTAAAAACGATGCTACATTCTGGCCTCAGCAGTTGTGTGTCATCTTCCACCATCAGATGACCAGAGCAGAAAACACATAGAGACACTTCAGTGTACCTTATGAGAACTCTCCAGTTCTGTTGACCCTGCCTCTCCTGGAGAATGAGCAGGAAATAGAGACCACTATTTGGCACTGGCATAGCATAATGCATTTGAGGTACTTTTATAAGGTCAGAGACCTGTGTTGGATGTTGTTGTCGTTGTTATGTGCCGTAGAGTCGGTTCTGACTCACAGCGACCCTGTACAGGTTTTCCGAGGCTGTAAATCTTTACGGGAGCAGAAAGCCTCATCTTTTTCCTGCAGAGCAGCTGATAGTTTCAAATTGCTGAACTTGCGGTTCTCAACCCGATTCATAACCACTACACTGTAGGAAATAGACCACTATTTGGCACTGACATAGCATAATGCATTTGAGGTACTTTTATAAGCTCAGAGACCTTTATCAGATGTTAAGGGGGATTTAAAGAACACCAGATATTCATGACCTCTCTTGATATCCACGACCCCACAAAAAAGGATCAGCATTCTCAGATCCTCTAAACCTAGGTTGGATACCCCTCAGCTATACCAGCCCCTTTGCTATACAGAAAGAAATCAGACAATCAGAGTTTTTGTCTTTGATACATTGAGTTGGGTCATGGAAGAAAGACATGAAGCTATTTCTGCTAATGGAAAGAAAACATGAATAGGAGTGTCACCAAAGCTAAGAACAAGCAGAGTTTTTAAAAGGAGGGATCAGTGTCAAGTATAGACAGTTACTGCAACAGCCTCGTTGTTGGCCTCATCTACCCATTGTACTCAGAATCTAAGTGGTCCCAAGACTCTTAAAACTCAATTCTAAACTCCCACCTGCCTTTCAGGGTGCTCTGCAATTGGAAGTGGCAATCCAGCCAACCTCAGTCATCTCTGCTCCCAACATACACCCTCTGAGGGGTCAAGAACAGCTGCTATGACCCCCATGAATATTTCCTACCCTTCCTGTCCTATCCCCATTATTATTTTCTCATTTGCCCTGGTTCTAGAATGTTTTCTATTCTTTCCTCTCTGAGGAGGTCACCTTCAAGGTCCATCTCCCCTGTGGTGGCATCTCTAATTTCCAGCACTTAACAGCATCCTACCGTTACTCTTATTGGTTTATCACATCAGATCACATTATGGGGGAATGATCACGTAACTGCCAAACCCACTGAGAATCTTGGTCTAGCCAAGCTGACAAATTTGGGGGGAACACAATTCAATCTGTGACAGTTACAAATCAAAATCGCAAAAGCATACCATTTCACGCTCACTATTAGTTAAAAAAATAAATGTTGGTGAAGATGTAGAGAAATTGGAACCCATATCCATTTCTGGCAGGAATGCACAATGGTGCAGCCTTTGTGGACAAAAGTGACCGTGTCTCAGAAACTAAAAGTAGAACAACCATATGTGACCCAGAAATTCCACTCCTAAGTACGGACCCCAAAAACTTGTACACTAGTGTTCATTACAGCACTTTTCACAATAGACAAAAGATGGAAACAACAAAATGCCTATTGACAGATGAATGGATAAAGAAAATGTGGTCCATACATACAATGGAATACTAAGCCAATAGAAATGAAGTCATGATACATGCTACAACATGGATGGAGATTTAAGACATGCTGAGTGCCATAAGTCAGTTGTAGAAGAACAAATATTGTATGACCACACTTATATAAAAAGACCAAAGTTTATTAGTAGTTACCAGGGGTGAATGGAAAAGGGGAACGACAGGGGTCACAGCTGGGGTACTATTGCATTGACTAAAGATAGGGTTACACAGCTACCTATTGCAATTACTACCATAAACCGTATACCTGTAAAATGTTGAAGTAGCCCAAGCTGTGTGAGGGTATATTTACAACAATGAAAAATAATCACCAGCTGAGGTTGCTTAGTTAGGTACAAGAAACACCGCATGGTATTTGGTTTCTTGGATTGGAGGTTTTAGGGTCATGGTTTCGTGGGACAACCCAGTCAATTGGCCTAATAATGTGTTTAGTGCTTCTGTTCTACTTCCTAGTTGGTTATATAGTGCTGAGGTCTTGAAAGCTTGCAAGAAGCTCTCCAAGTCACATCAGTTGGTCTCTGTTGGCCTGGAGCAACAGATGAATGAGAATCAGGAATAAGCGGAAGATATGGAATGTGTGA